GGACATATTTCTTAAAGGGATAACTGGAGTCCCTGTCAGGACTCCAGTGCACAGGTTATGGGTAGAGTCTGCGTACCAGTCTGGGTACCTACCTGTAGGTATTGCAGAAGATGTACCTTTTGCAGGAGTTGACCTTCTACTAGGCAACAACGTTGTGAGACTCCTCAAAAGTGAGGAATGTTTGGTTTTGCAGGACCCTGCTTTACAAGGTGGTAATGACCGAATTGGAGCAACGGTACCTGAAAATTTTTCAATGTGCTTTCGGACTAAACAGGGAACAAGGCAGGAGCTGTGCCTCCCTGTGACCCTTCTGCACACTGTGGTGATGGTTTGGGCATGGGGAGCCTGTTCATTGAGTCTAACCTGCAGGAGACTCTGAGCAGTGATTAAACCCGGGCTCAACCGAACTCGGTTGGAGAAGTGGTCTTGGTGCTGATGTGGGAAAAAATCCCCTGACTCTGCAGCAGCTGAGTGAGGCCCGGGAAGGTTGTGACCTCCGGAACGCTATTCATTTATCAGTTGTCGCGGAGGATGTGGTTCCCAAATTTACCAAGTGTTTATTTTGCAGAGTTGATCAAATGAGCAAGACTTTTTTTAAGAGGACCTGTGCTTACGTGGACGCGGCAGAACTATTAAAGTGTCTTTGTCAGTATTTTTTTACAGATTCTGAAGGAACGGCATTTCAGTGTTAAGACGGGAGAGCTAAATAATCAGTGTTTATTAATAAATTCCTTTTCTAACAGGTTACCAGAGTCTGTACCCTTTCTGAATAATTTTGTGTGTGTGTGGTTTTGAGATGTCTGGTGAAACATTTTTGTCTCTTAGGCTTTGCACAAATCACCCAGAAGTCACATTTTATGAAATGTCATGTAGTTTTGAGAGGCCTACTTGAGGTTAAATTTACCAATGTATATCATCCTAGGAGTCAAAGAAAAGCTCCATGGTTTTCCCCCGTCTCTCAGGGCAATGCATATTTGTTTTCCCCAGTACCAGAAGGACTGGGAGGAGGGAATTCCCCTCCCTTTCATTACCGTGTGGGAAGCACTCTGGAATCATTAAGTCATGTGCTACGTGAGGATGGTGATGTTTCCCCAGCGGTGTTTTTTCTCGGTTTCAGAAAATTCTTGGCTAAGATGAGGTCGTTGGCACTAGTGCACCAGTCTGCCAGTCCGCCCAGGATGACGTGGGACTATGAGGTGGTGCTACACATTCTGGAAGCTGGAGAGATGGGATTGGCATTGGAACCGGGTCCTGGGAAGGCTATGATGGAACTGTGTGGTGACTTCAAAATGATGATGGATAAAGTCCCTGAGAAAGATAATGTAAGCAGGAAAATTGTAAGAGATTGTGGAAGATTTGGATCTTCTGAAAGACTGGTTGAAGTGTTGGCTCAGCCATGGTGCACCTTAGTGAAAGAGTTTTGGGATGCTGAAAAATGGGGCCATGTTAAACCCCATGAGGTAGATGTTTCTGAATTTGTGAAATATCAGCAGGCCTGGCATGATGTAAGCTGGGGTGAAATAGGTTCCTTGAAGGAAGTGAAGTGTTTATTTCTAGAGACTGTGTTTGTATCCAGCGAGAGTTGGTGGACGTTTTTTACTGGTCTCACACTAGGTGATACCTTGAAAACGTGCACTGCCTGCCGCCAGGTACAGTTAAAAAATAAGGTTTTGTCTCCTCTTTATGACCTACATGCAAATTGTGTGAATGAACAGTGGGTGCGTCATCTGCTTCCCACGACCATGTGTGCCAAGGACACACCCGTATTTGTAACTTTAATATCTCTGTCCATGTACCTTTTGTATGCCATTAACCCTCAAGATCTTTTATGTGTAATCCTGAGTTGCCCACCCCGGGTTTTATAAAATGGTACAGAGGTTGGGTCAGTCTTGTTGCAGGGTAGAGCAGGAGAAGTAATGCCACTCGGCTGCTTCTCAGCAAAAAGTAGCAGGCACCAGAGAAGTTATACCTCCATAGAAAAGGAGGCTTTTGCCTTAGTGTTGGCAGTGAAACATTTTGAGGTGCATATATCTAAATCAGTTCACCCTATAACTGTGTATAGTGACCATATTCCTTTACGTTTCCTTCACTTAATGAGGCACCACAATCAGAGACTTGCAAGGTGGGCCTTGTTTCTCCAACTTCTTAATCTTGTGATTCATTATGTGAAGCGAGCAGAGAATGTGGTTGCTAATACCTTGTCTTGTGTTTAAAGTGCACGATGTAGCGTATAGATCACTTATCTATTCTTATTTTGCAGTGATTTGCGGTAGACGAGTAGATGGAACTCTGGACCACCCAAAGGAGAAGGGCAGGTTGAGCTGGAGCTGGAGGTATCAGGATTCCCTGGTGTGTGTGTAGTTAGGGGGGTAGTCACATCAAAGGCCATGCCTAGGTAAGGTATGCTATGTTTTTTAGGTGTTGGCTGGAATGCCTCGCCTCTGTTTTATGTTGGTATAGGGACTGTTGGACCTAACGTTTTAGTGAATTTGGGGCTGGCGGTGATGCCCTCCACTGTTTGGGTCATGTCTTTTGATCTGAGGGGTTTTGGTTCTCCAGGACTCTTTTTCAATTTTTCCTTTTTGGATCACCACTGGGGTGACTCCAGGGTCCTTGGAATGACATGTAGGTTGCGGCCTGGGAGGTCCACCTTTTGGGGGTCTTCAGTGATGACTCCAGGGTTTTACAGCCGCAGTCCCACCAACAAGATTTATGTGCCTATCCACCCGTTGTTTTTGGGGGCCTGATATTTTCCCCTCTCCTGTGCTCTCCTGATTCTCGCAGAGGTGTGTCATGGGGTACCAGTTTTGTTTACTGAAGATTGATGTGAGATGGGAGTGATAATGTGATGTTTTCTCCGTAGAATTTAACATGTAACATCTGTTTTTCTTTTCTTTGAACTCCTGGAAAATGTACTTACTGTTTAAAAGTTTTTTTTTGGTGGCACCTACAGTTTGGTCTGCCTTGCAACATACTGAACTTTGGTGTTACTTCATAAAACGGCATTCCTCAGGGGCACTTTTGTACAAAGTTTACTTGCTTGTTTATAAGTTTGCTTGATGTAATTTAGGTAAAATGCATCAAAAGCCAGCGCCTGGCCAGCGCTGTGTTGTAATGGTGCCTTTTTTCCCAAAACAGCTGTCTAAGAGTGTGACTGTGAGCTCGTTGGGCATAGAACTTGATCACTTTTATGTTCGACGAGTTTCATGTCTGCAATCTAGTACCTCAGTTTGTAAATATGGCATATTTGTAGTACCAAAAGACCGTGATTGTATGGTGGTCATTCCCCAGTTATCATTTTGCCAGTTGCCTCAGACCTTAATGTGGGGCTTATTTTCTTTTTTTTTTCTTTTTGCCTAGCGGTGTCCGTAGGGACCCCACTAGCAGAGTGAGACCTATGGTCTGGGGGTGGGGGTGTTATGCAGGGTTCTGCATGACATCGTAATGTACATATAGTGGAGAAGTGTGCCATAATAATATGAATGTTATAATTGTAAAGAATAATTTTATAATTCATAATGTGCTTTTGGGGGTACTGTAAAGTACTCTAACTGTAATTATCAAGAAATTCTGTTAATGATTTATTTTCCAAGGATGTTTGGGTACGCAGAGTAAGCGTGGGGAGGGAGTCACGTGACGTTAGCATGGTGTGTAGAGGCTGGCGTCGGAGATGCTGTGTATTTAAGATAAGTTTGTAGTTGTACACTCATTTTGTTTATCCAACTCAAGCCATAGGCTTTCATATGGCTTACCTGTATGTTCACCCAGGCTCTGACATGGTCAGGGTGCTGTGGGATGAGTGATGAAGTAAGAAATGAGGTTTGTAGTGTAAAGACGGCCTGACGCTGACGAAGCCTAGTGGTTATGGTGGCTGAACCTCCAGCCAGCTGTTGTGTGTACCCTCATTTGGGCGTTTACGATTAAGGTTTTCTGTTATGTTATGTTATGGTGATTAAATAGATATATTTTCCTAATTGGGATTTTTGCCTAACCCTCTGTTAACCAACCCATTGAAGTAACACATACTGGTTTAGCGCTTTCTGTTTTGACTGGGATAGCCCTGGGTGGACGGTTTGGGCTTGAGATGTGTGTAACTTTTACCTTTGCCCTTAGACCAGGCACAAGCCCCCAGCTATCCCACATTTTTGCGTAACAGTTTAGTGCTTCCCCGTTATAATAATAATAATAATAATACCCCCGAGGTGGAAGGATTTCTCGTTTTGCTTACGTTTTGTGCAGTTATTTTGCCAAATTTCTTTTTTCTAGCCATGGATCCTTAGAAAGTAAGTGCAAAGGACAGTGCTGAGAAGAAAAAGATGATGATGTCCATGGAAGTAAAGCATGAAATCATGGATAAACACAAGCGAGGTATGCGAATTTGACCTGGGAGTACCAGCCACTACTTGTCACATAATGACATTTTATTCATTCTAGAGTATATACCAGGTTTCTATGTCATTTATATTGTTTATTGTGTCATATTAGATGAATTGTGATAGATAAATATGCCGCAGAGTTGATATTAGTGTTATATTGAAGTATTTTGTCCTGCCTCCTGAGAGCAGGAATTCAGCTGGAACAGATTAATGGCATTTCAATTAATTTAAATGAGGAAATTTGACTCAGCATACAAGCAGATCGGGTTACGAGCTAGGTCACGTAATGGATTAAACTTGTAAGCCCAGGTTCTATACTATACTGACCAGGTTAACAACTGCAATCTCTATTTTTTTTAACACCACAGTCTTAAATCACTTTAAAGTCTGTATTAAGCATACACAATGTAAGATACAAATGCACATTATGATAATAAAACAGTACGTAAGAAAAGTAGCTCATTTTAGCCTACAACTGAGGATGAAGAACACTGAATTCTGTTGAAATCTGTTGCATTTTGCTGAGGTCCTCAGTCGTAGAGTGAAATAACCACCACTTTTTTAATACTGTTATGTTTTCTCCTGAATAGAGGTGGAGAATCACAAAACACAAATATTACTAACCTCCTTACTAATATCCATGATATCTACATCCATGAATTTAAGGGCAGGCTTAAAGCACTTGGATACAAGACACAGGTGTACCAAGTGGGCATGGATAGAGGTAAGATGAAGCGGAGACTCCTGAGTCTTGCGAATTGCAGTGCTCAGCACTTCTATTCCTCGCATGGCACAACTCCCTGCTACTAACAAATCTGCATAACTTCCACAAAGATCTGCCACTGGGTGAAGAGAAGATAATAAATGGTTAACATTTAACAACCTTTATTCGTCTAAAGTTTATCTAAGTATTTTGTTGGTGGATAATGAAATATATTATTGTAAGCTATTTCCAATGTAACAAAACATCGTGGAAAATCCAGGATGAAGTAAAGAACGGTGGAGAATCCTAATCTACCATACTGTCAGTGTGTAATTCTTGAAGAGTACAGTAGGATAACTAACTGTAAACAAAAAATGCATACTACTTAAAGATTAGTAAACAATGAAATTTATGATATTAGAGCACATTAAGAGGAATTTATAAGCACAAATTACACACCATATAGTTCATCAAATTACGAAAGAGCTCATAACATTCTTTTAGGATAATAGACTGTAGACTCTCAGAAGTGTATTTACAGACGTTACCTGAAGGTGACTCATTAGAACACTGCTCCAGTAGCCTGATGCCAGACCAGGCTACAGGAGCAGGAGCAGACCTGGAGGAAAGGTGATCAGGTAAATGACCTAGTTGACTGCATGATTAATCAGGCTGTTGGTGCTAGCCACCAACAGTCCAGGGTTTATACAGCTTGGATGATCAAGAACTAGCATGAGAAACTTATCCAGTTCCCTCTTCAAGACAGCTAGAGGTTTGCTGGTGATTCTCCGTAGGTCTAAAGGGATTGTGTTGAAAAAATATCAGTCCTTTATACTTGAAGTATTGTCTCATAGTATACTCATTACACCCGTGCTATTCACTGTAGGTATTTGCACTCTTTATCAAGTCTCTTTCTCTTGTAGAGGGTTAATTTTGGAGAGCAGATTTGGAACCAATCCCTTCAGAAATTTCAAGGAGTTAATTATCGGACGCAGTAATAGTTAACAGTCCACTTTTTCCCAGTGATATGAACCAAACGAACAGTAAAGAAATTATTCTCCAGATCATAAAGGACCAAACAAAAGTTACAGTACCAGAGTCAGAAATAAAGGAAGCCAGGTTACTAGGATCCCATGGTAGAAAAAGTGTTATGCTTAGATTCCACTCCCATGACAGGAAAAAAGACTTAATAACTGCATCTATTAAAGTAAAGAAAGAGGTACACATAAACGAGTGTCTTACCAAAAAACGTCAGAACCTCCTGTATAGAGTCAGAAAACTTAAGCAGGAGAATAATGACACAATATACCAATGCTTCACACGGGATGAGGAAAACGAATGCAGGTCAACTGTACACAATCACGAACGAGAATGATCTATCACGATTTCTCAGGGATACTAATCTTACAGAGAATAACTAAACAATGTCCAACCTAAAAGCCTACGTAGTGTAGTCAGGGCCGGATTAAGAAGTCTCCAGGCCCTAGGCTATTCAGATTGGCAGGGCCCCTTTGAGTTACGGGTAAGCGAAGCGGCCCCTTCCAGCTTGGGGTGGGGGGGTGGGGGGGGGTTGGTGTGAGACTGTCTAAGGTCTAATTAAATACATTCTGGCTATTTAGATTAAATTTAATAGGGAAAGTACATCAAGACAACCAAAACCATTTACCAACAGCCATTATAACTATCTTGTTAAATCATGCATTTTAAAGAGAATAAACTCAAGACAGCATAGTATTACTAGATTAGGCTATTAAAGTAGTGACATCATGTACCTATTATATTCAGCATAACCACTACAGCACTATTATTCCCTTTATAAATCACTGACCATTATTGTTATCATTGCATCATGCATAAGACTATCAAATCATATAAACTCAAGAAAGTAAAGAATTGTTTATATTCACAGGCACTTCTTAAATAAATTTTTTTTCTGGATTTCATATTGGCAAAATCATCAATTATATTCTGAAAATCAATATTTCTTGTTAGATCAGACTCAATGGTCAACAAGGGCTAGGTTACACAATTTGTCTTGGCTCTTTGTTGAATGGAGCTGGTTTTTCACTCTTTTCAAAACAGAAAATGAACGTTCTCCTTCACAGTTAGTAGCTGGAAGTGTTAGGTAAAGGCGATACACTATGTCAACATTAGGGAAGGTTTCTGAGATACCTGCATTTCTTAAATGTTTCAAAGCAGCTGAGGGCGCACATTTTTCAGGTGGAGCTTTAATCTGATTCACATACCCAGAAAAATGAACTATTTCTTCAACATATGTGTCCTGAACATCTGCTGAAAGGTGTTGTTGCAACTTTAATGCAGCTTCTCTCAATTCTGCATCTGGCATAATAGTAATTTTGAACAGAAATCCAAACTTGTCATTGAGATTCTGGTAGATTTCTTTTCTTTTCACCAATTCTGTAATCAGTGAATCCAGAATGATGAAGTATGTAGCTGTCTTACATTTCTGCCTTGGTAGCAACACAATTTCATTGTCTGGCTCTTCAAAATTGCGTTTCCTCTTCCTTGACCGCTGGTGATCAGCCCGGTAACTGTAGTCTTTCACCAGCAGTTTAGCTTTCTCTTCAAACATTTCAAAAGCTTCATCGTTGTGAAGTGAGCTTACAAATTCCACTAAGCCTGCTTAGAGGTTAGCACAAGTAGCCATTTCAATTTCAATTTTCTGATGATCTTGTTCGTGGCATTTAACCGTTCCAGTATACAGTCCCAAAGCACACAGAGTAAGGCCAATTCAAAATCTTCCAATTTTGATGCTAAGCTGGCTGCTTCGCTTCTTGTAGTTGCTGTCTGTCTTCATCCTCTGCTATTTGGATCAAAGCAGAACGAAATTTCAGCAAAGCTGTCTTTCAAAGCAGTGTTGCATCATGCTGCGCTGACCACCTTGTTGTTGATAATGATTTGTTGACATCTCCATAAATGTTGACTTGAGTATACCCCCACCGATGCTTGAAGCAAAAGAAAAAATTAAAGAGTGCTTGTAAAAGTCCAAAAAATGAAACTGCAGCGACACAACACTCCGCAACACATGACCCAACAAGATTAAGAGAATGTGCTGAGCAGGGCACATATTCAGCCAAGTGGGTTGATTTGCTTGATAGGGGCTTGCAATCCATTAATTTACCCGACATGTTACTTGCATTGTCGTAGCTCTGGCCACGGCAATCCATAAAGAGAGATCATGTTCAAGCAAGGTATCCAATACTACATTCATCATTGTTTCTCCATCAGGCCTGAAAGAGGAATGAATTTTAAAAGCGCTTTTCAGGGCTTACCACTGGAGTCGACAAAGCGAACAATGAATGTAAAATTAAACTGTATGTGAAATATCTGGTGTTGAATTTACATTTATTGCAAAGTTTTTGCAGTTTTCCACAGCTGCTATGATGTTATTGAGGACCTTCTTAGTCATCAGTTCAATAAATTCATTGCATATAAGTAGATGGACATGTAAAACAGTGCCTCTTCTGCATTCCCAAGGGGTGACACATGATTTTGCTAAGAATGGATGGGAATTGTGCTAACAGTTCTATGATCCCTAGGAAATTGCCATTGTTTTCCGAACCAAAAACCTCATTTTTCCTCCACGGAAAACAAGTCCTCTTAGAGCTAAGAATTTTACAACAGCAACAACTTTTTCTAGAACTTTTCTCCAATAAGTGTGCTTTTTTTTCAGTTTGATTTCCAAATGAGAATCCAATAAGCCTTTTTTGTGCACAAAATACACGGGCTAAAATGCAGCTCCTGTGAGTGGGCGTTTTCATGTTCCTCGAAACGTTTGGGAATTTTTCCAGTCATTGAACCCCTGTGTGAAGGTATTTTCTTTGGTAGAAAATAGCTTGCATGCTGAACAGTACACTTTTCCTGAGCTTTCAGAGTATACCATCCATGATCTTTTCACAGTTTCTGAATTTGCAAGCTTCCTATAAAACATAGATGACTTTAAACGACGACGACTTCCATCATCATAAATCCTTGCTGATTTCCTAAAGTCAATGTTCAAGTTTGGGTGAAGTTTTCTGCAATGAAAAACATTACGTAGAGAATCTGGGGTTACATTTGGCAATGAGGCAGGATCTTTTAAGACAAATCCTGTGGATGAAATGTCTGTTGAGACATTGAGAGGAGGCACAAAAGAAGTAGATGCTGGCTGAGAAATAATGGAGGGAGGGCTTCCTGTATGATCTGGGCGTATCTGCAGATTCAAACGTACTGGAAACAAACAGAAACTGTTTTGTGAGCATGTCTGTGATCTTTCTGCAGCTTCCTACATCTTTCTTTTTCTGTTCTTTTTTCTTGAATTTTCTTCTTTCTTTTCTGTGACCCACTCGCATAGAACGTCCAAAAATCACGTTCACGAGATTTTCCATAATGAGGATGTATCACTGTCTGTAATCATGCAAATACAAATTTTTCATTATCAAATTTTTATAACTTTTTTAATTATTAAATTTTTTTTTCTGTCAATTGGGGGGATATGGGCCCCTTTTAGCCCCCTTTACTCTGGCTGCGCATCTAAAAATTCAAAACGTTACCAGAAAGGAGTCATAAAACAGAATTTTACCATAGATTAGGTTAGTGATTTGGGCTACGAAAATTTTACTAATTCATCCTCCTTGATCTCCAATTTACTTAAACAGAAATCATACTGAGTCCAAGAACAATGCACAATGGTATTTATATTACCATTTTCATAACTAAAATAATCATTATGTTTTGCATGATATATGGGCCTACCACCATAGATAAGGACATGAGAATTAAAGAATGCAGGGACAATTTTCAGTTTTTAAACCCAACCAAAAGATTTTCTGATGTGGCTTATGTGTTTCTGGGGAAATATGTATAAATTAATTGATTTTCTACATCACTTTCCCTTGCAAAATTGAAAACTAAGCTTTGCGATGGAAGTGATGTAGAACATCAATCAATTGAGATCTGTTATTGAAATGATAAAGACTTAAAGACAGGACAAAGTGCTTTTAAAACCTACAAACGGAAGTCAATTTGCGTTTTTAGGTTTTTCTTTAAAAGTATTTTTTACCAAATGCAAACTTTACTGGTCAAGTAACCCTATCAGGTACCTCCCTTAACATTTAGAGGCGAAAAAAAAACATTTAT